TCTGAAATCAATAAAAATATATTTTTACTTTTTTTTAAAAAAAAGCAAGTGCCCTGTGCCCTGCAAGCCATCCCACTCGGGTGCCAGGTCTCCCCCTCAGGGCCCTGCAGCTCACGCGCACTCACTCCTGCCACTGCACGGCCAGGCCAGGCCATCGGTGCTTCCTCTCTGGAGCCCCCGGGAAGAGGGCACCTGTCTGCCCGGCAGGGCAACAGCCAGGGGCGTGCACACCAGCCAAGAGCACCCACTGCTCTGGGCCCCGTGCCCAGGGCTCCCCTGGAAGCCACCATCCTTTTCCAGCACCCTGTCTGTTGGGGTCCAGCCCCAGCAGGTCCAGGGGTTCCCAAAGGTGTGGACGGAGTCGGCGAAGAAGGAAGGACCGGGCAGGTGTCAGTGGACCAGCATGGTTGGGTTCTCTCGCCTGGTTCTACCCAGGATCTCCAGCCAGGTTCTGTCTCTTATTGTCTCATTACATCTGTATTTATACCAGTTGATTTTAATCCTGTCAATTTCTATTCCAAAGGTTAGGGCTCTTATCTCCTCCATTCCAGGGAGTAAAGATTATGTAGCTTAAGGGTGATTGTTCGTAGTTAAAGTGATTAACTACCCGCCTGGCACTTAGTTAAGGGGTTTTATTCCCTCCCTAACTTCAGGGAAAAATCCCTACCTGGGGAAACAACCTTTCTCGGAGAGGTGACCTTGGTTAAAACACATAGCGCCAAGAAGGGGAGCAAACATATTAAGAACAGTATGGCATATACGCCAGGTCCCTTGAGACATATGCTGTGCAGATGTTTCTTCCCTGCAGCGACTGTGTCAAGCAGCAAGGGTGGACCGACTTCTGGCACCGTCCTGTCCATCCATGGCAGCTGACCGCGGGCCATCATCTCTGCCCGGAGCAGCGGCCTCACCCTGAAGCTGGCCAGCCCCAAACCCACACCTTCCGGTCTGACACTCAAAAACCCAGTGCACGGGACCGCCCCCTCACTCCCCGCCTTTGCCGTTGGAGGCGCTGCCGCCTCCTAGAACGGGGAGACCTCCGTGCGTGCATTTCTGGGCGTCAATGCTGAGCAGCTGGCAGTGGGGTGGGCCCCGCAGACACTGTTCTAATGCTGTGTGCCACACACTGCTGACTGTCATCCTCTCTGTCCCCCGTACGTGCCAATAAAATGTTTCCACAGAAGCTTCCACATGCGACATGGTTACAGCGTTCCGCTCACCCGCCTCCCTTGCAGCTAGGTGTGGCCGCGTGACGGATTTCTGGCCAAAGGGACAGGAGCAGAGGTGCTGTGTGAGGGCTGGTCACCGTTCCGAGGGCACGACTCTCCCGTCTGCCTGCAGGTGGGCATGTGCACAGGTGGCCGGAGGGGGGCAGCCCCGGGGGGCCCTTTGCTAGCTCCTGGGGCAGCCATGACAGCCCCACAGGCTGGTGAGTGGCAGCGGCAGGAATGTGTCCTCTCACAGGCCTGGAGGCTGGAAGTCGGGGCTGGGCAGGCTCGCTCCTTCTGCCAATCCCAGGGAGAGGCCACTCCTGCCTCTGTCCCAGCTCCCGTGTGTGTGTGGGTGGGGGGCGTCCCATGTCCCTGAGCTTTGGACCCACCACTCCTGCCTCTGCCCCCCCCCCCCCAGCCATTCCCTCGGTGTCTCCTCTCCTGGGAGTTCAGGGCCCACTGGGCTCCGGCGTGGCTCCGCCAATGGTCTGACACCACCCACTTCCGAATGGAAAGACGGTTGCACTGCCAGCTCCTGCCCCTTTGGCCAGACATCGGTCCCGTGGCCACACCTAGCTGCAAGGGAGGCTGGCGAACAGAACCATGTAGGAGCACATGCTGAGGTACAAATTGGGGGGCACACAATTCAACCCCTAATGGAGCCCAAGAAGGGGGTTGGGGGGCAAAGTAGTGCCATTGCTGAGCTGGGCCTGTGATGTACACCCTTACGACTTTATAGCAGAGCCTTTGGTGATGGAGAGGGCCCCGGGGCAGTACAGGGAGGAACCTGGGGCAGTTACAGGGAGGAGCCCAGGGCAGTTACAGGGAGGAGCCTGGGGCAGTTACAGGGAGGAGCCCAGGGCAGTACAGGGAGGAGCCCAGGGCAGTACAGGGAGGAGCCTGGGGCAGTTACAGGGAGGAGCCCGGGGCAGTTACAGGGAGGAGCCCAGGGCAGTTACAGGGAGGAGCCCGGGCTCCCTGGAGTTGGGCTGAGGGCCGATGCGGTCACAGCAGGGTCACCACACCTTGTGCCTGGCAGGGACCTTCAGAGGTCTGGAGGAAGGGGAGCTGGAATATTCTGGAAGGCGGGGGCTAGGCTGACAGGTGGAAGAAGGCCATTTGGCTGGTCTGCGTGGCTCAGTGGTTGAGCGTCGACCGATGAACCAGGAGGTCCCGGTTGGATTCCCGGTCACGGCACAGGCCCAGGTTGCAGACTCAAAACCCCAGTGTGGGGCGTGCAGGAGGCAGCCGATCCATGATTCTCTCTCATCACTGATGTTTCTATCGCTCTCTGAAATCAATAAAAAAATGTTTTTTAAAAAGCAGGCCTTTTGCTCTGATAGTTGGCAGGACGCTGCTCCCATCTAGAGCAGGACGAGCGAGCGAAGCGGCTGATGGCCGCCTGCAAGGGGAGTGGCCTGGCCGGACGCTGGGCAGGGTCTCTGTGACCCGCGTCCAGGCAGCACCCGGCCTCCGGCATCACCCAGCCTCCGCTCGCACGGCCTTGGCAACGAGGCTGGTCCCAGATTGTGTCCCTAGGTGCCCCTTTGCAGCTCTGGGCCCTGAGGCCATCTGTCCTTGGCTCCACAGGCGGGCGGTCCCCAGGCCGCATGGCGGGTGCTACTGGCCCAGCGCACAGCCTCCCGTGCAACAGGCGAGCAGTGGGGGCCCCCGCCTGTGCGTGTGGCCTTATGGGACAAGGGTCTTTTTAAAAATATTTATATACATTTATTGATTTCAGAGAGGAAGGGAAAGGGAGAGAGAGAGAAGCATCAGTGGTGAGAGAGAATCATTGATTGGCTGCCTCCTTCACGCCCTGCACTGGGGATCAAACCCCCAATCAGAGCGTGTGCCCGGCCCGGGATTCGAACCGTGACCTGGTTGAGCGATGCTCAACCCCTGAGCCACGCCCGCCGGGCAGGAAAAGGGACCTCATGGCTCTAATTAAGGGTCTCCAGATGAGAGCCTCCTGGCCATGAGGTCCCAGCAGAAGACTGGAGACAGACTTGGGGCCTTGCTCTGGCCCACGCCCACCCTTCTCCAGCCTTGGTGGCTGGAAGGCTGGTTCTCCCACAGCGAGGGTGTGTCACCATCCTCTCCTGGGGCAGAATCTGGGACAGGACGGGGGGGGGGGCGGGGAGCAGGTGGCCAGTGTCCACCATGCCCTGAGGCCGGGCCCTGAGAGCTCCTCCGGGCAGGTGTCACCTGTTTTCACCTCTCAGGTGTGCAGCTCTGTCACTTTCCACACCGCCCAGGGCCCAGGTCCCCGTGGCCGGCTCGGGGTGGGGCTTGGCACTGCGCCCTCGAACAAAGCTGAAATGCTTCCCCCAGAACTCCCTGGTGCGCTCCGACCTGCCCCTCCCTGTGGGGGTCTAGTGGAGGCAGCCACTGGGGGATGTTGCTTGCCTGTCGTGGGCTGAGGTGTGTCCCCCAGTATGTCGCTGGCGGGACGAGGAGACCTCGGGTCCTTGTCTTCTGGAAGGAAAGAGTTCAGTGAAGAGACAACGTGTAGAAAGGCACGCAAGGCCTTACTGGCTGCAGCAGAAACACACTCAGGACAGGGAAATACGAAGAAGAAGCCACCCGTGAGCCCAGGCCGGCCGCTCTGGCTCCTGGGAAGTCAGGCTCAGGGGTGAGCCCGGGACGAGCTGCCGCTGCCTGCTGCTCCCCTGGGAGCAAGTCTCATGGGGTCCCTTGAAGTTTAGGAGATGCGTGCCTGTGGGGGAAGGAGGGGGGGCTCCCCTGGGGGAGAGCTCGCCGGGTTCTTTGCGTTGAGCATATGTCTCTCTCTTGCAGGTGGGAATCTCAGGGGAGGGTCTCAACAGAGTGTTCACCAGCTTCCAGGGGCGCTCTGTCAGGGGCGTGGCCTCCACTGATTGGCCGGCGCCAGGGCAGGGGCCACTGTCCCGTGCAGCTGGTCCTGGGGCAGCCACGGGGTCACTTGCCTGGTTTTGCTGCTTCTCTGGACCTGGAGCTGACACAGCTGAGGCCTCGATGTTATCTCCGGGGAGGAAAGGGCAGGGGGTCCAATCCCATGACCAGGGATGTGCTGGGGAGGAAGGTCACCCTGGAGGCGAGGGCCTGGTGTTCCCAGTTTTGTCGGTTGCTAGGCACCCGGGCTTCCCACCCTGGTGAGCTTCTGACCTGCCCTGGTCCTTGCTCAGCTCCTGTCGGTCTAACTGCCCGTAACAAATATTCACGTCAACCCCTCCGTGGCAGCGAGGTAGGGACCCAGCACACGGACATCCTTAGGGACGAAGTGTGGGTCCTCCCCGGTTTGTGGGGCGTCTCCCAGCCACCAGGTCCTGCTTGCCAGGCAGGGACCCCTGGGCCCTTTGCCTCTCCTGACCCTGATTTCCAGCCTTTTCTTCAGGATGTTTCTCTTGTTCTGGGAGCTGCCTCTTCCTGCACCCGGAGCCGGTCTGCCCCCCATTTCCCTCAGGGCTCCCTGGACAGCCCCCCAGGCTCACTCAGACTCCAGCAAGATGATCCCGGGTCGTGCAGCCTGGGCTCCAGGGCTCCAGGGCTCTCCAGCGTCCACCCCACTAGCACGCCACGCCGCCCGCCCGTGCACACTGGCCCCACGGGGCTGGCCCAGGCAGGCTTCCTTTCCATGAGCCCGTCCCCCACCCCCAGGGACCACCGCCACCTGAATCTCCGTGAGCGGTCAGACCAAGAAAGCACGGAGAATTTTCCAACCCTCCTCAGGCAGCTTCCCGAGCAGGTGTGGCAGGCTCCTCCCCTTCTCCACCAGGCCCTAAGGGACCACTGGATGAGATGGGCTGGCACCCATGGGAACAGGCACCAGGAGGCCAGGGGTGTATGTGACAGAGACACAGGAGGAGGGAGAGCCGTGAGTGCCAGAACCAGGCGGTCCCAACCCTCCGACCGTAGCTGCCTCTCTCTCTACCCGCCAGAAAGGGTTGGTCCTTGAGCCCCTGGCTACGGGTCTGGTTCATAGCTGAGTTGTCTGTTGAATGAATGAATGAATAAGTGGATGGATGGGTGGATGGGTGGATGGATGGGTGGATGGATGGATGATGGATGGATAAGTGGATGGATGGGTGGGTGGGTGGGTGGATCGATGATGGATGGATGGATGGTGGATGGATGGGTGGGTGGATGGGTTGATGGATGGGTGGATGGGTGGATGGATGGGTAGATAGATATATGAATGGGCTGGTGCTTACAGAAATGGGGAGAAAGTAGCCTGATCTTTCCAAGGGACTGAGAACCTTCCTGGTTCAGGTTCTGAAAGGGGATAAGGTCTTCCTGCTCCAGCCACGGCCATGGTTCCTGGCCCTTCTAGAATCCTCTGGCAGCTAATCCTTTATAAAGCAAAGACTTCAGACTTCCCAACTCAGGCCCTTGAGTGGGAGCTTGAGAGACGGGCCAGAGGCCTGGACGCTCTCCCACACCCCCAGATGCACAAGCCCACCACGGCCTCACAGCAGCGTCCACCAGGGACGCAGACCTCCGCCAGGAAAGTGTCAGAGCTGCCGGCCACCTGCCTGGGCCCCCGCTCCTGGGCCCCCGTCCATCCTCCTTGGCAGCTCCCGCCACGGACAGGACATTCCTGAAAGCTGAGGCTACACGTCGGGGTTTGGAGCTGGGAGGCCGTGAGGCCACGGCTGTCTCGAGGACGTGCTTCGGCCTCTCGTCCTCCCTCTTCCCCGGCCCCTTGGTGTTGGCCTGGGAGATGGGGAGCTTGTCCGGCTTCCCTTCCCACGACCCATGCCAGGGCCCGTCTGTTCTGGTCTTTCCCCCGCTGTGGCCCCTCTCTGCCCGAGACCCAGCACGTGAGCTCTGGGCGATTCGGGGGGCACCACAGCTGCCCTGGCAAGCCCAGGCCCCATCACCGTGACCTCCTGGCTGGGCTGCCTCCCTCCTACCCTCTCTCCTCCCCCCGGGTCCTGGGGGTGGGCTGCACCCAGACCACAAGCTCCCTGAGGCTGAGAGGGGACCCCGCAGGAGCCCCACAGGGCGGGCCAAGGGCAGGCACAGCGCCCCCTGCACGACCAGGAAGCCGCATCGTGGGGTCAGGAGAGGGCTGGGCAGAGGGCAGAGGGAAGGACGAGGGCCAGCGAGGAGCAGGCTTGGGGACACGGCTTCCGGCCCGTGCAGGGTGGCTGTGGCCACAGGAGGGAGCAGACTCGTGCCACTTCGGGGTCCGGCCATGACCGTCCCCTGAGGGTCCTCCTCTCGTGTCCCCAACCCCGCTGCCAGGAGAGGGGATCAGCACTCTTGGGGGTGCAGAGTGGACGGTGGGGGCCCAGGCACAGAGCCCCGCCCTGTGTGCCCTCCCTGCGCAGTGACCACGGAGAGCATCGTGGGGGCAGGACTTGCTCACACGGGGGCGGAGGAGCAGCCAAGGGACCGCTGGGCTTGGAGGTCAGCGGTCCCTGTTGCTCTGTGGGTCCAAAGCCCACCTCAGACACTGACCAGCACGGGCCCTCCGCCCCACTGGGCATCGGGCACTGAGCTTTGGGCATTGAATGCCAGGCAGCCAGGAGGAGGGAGAGGACGAGAGAGCGGGTGGAGGTGAGGGTCCTGAGGGGGGTGGTGGTACGTGGACTCCTCGGTCGTAGGAACACCCAGGACCTGTCCTCCTGCTCACCCCTCACACCACATATTTCCAGGAAGAAATCATCGCCCCGCGGAGGGAGGCTTTTCCGTCTGGGCTCGGGCTCTGAGCTATTTTGGAGGGAACTTCTGCCTTAACTCACTCTCCTCGCCAAGCTCCTGCGGGGACAGTCAGGGAGGCAGTGCCATGCGGGCAGGAAGCAGGGAGCCGCCCACCGGCCTGGGCACACACCATTC